ATCCACCAGGAGGCAATAAGTCACTGTTAAAATCCTCTCCTCCATTGCTCCCACATGCTGTGCTGATTTTCCAGGTATATTGAATTACTTCTATTGCTGTCCCAGTGGGTAAACACTCCACAAACAACAATGCAAAAGCGCTGTTTCAGTGGTGACAGAATATCACTCTGGATGAGTTATTGCATGTAAGCTAATCATTTGATACCCACCTTTGTTCTTCAAGGGGATTGAGGGGATTCTTAGCTTTTGTGTGTCCTGTACTCAGTTGGGATGGATGTGGTGGGGAGAGGCGGGACTTTGAATTAAAAGAGAACAATGATGGCTTGTGAGAAGCAAGTTACGCCCGTGCCAGCAGTGACAGAAGGAGGGATGGGAGTGTTGTCCATCATTCTGTCAGGACATGCTGCAGACATCAAGACAATTCGCAGATATGCGTTTGAAATACAAGAAGCGTAAGAATGGGATCAGCTATTAAAGGAAGAAGTAGAGAGAGATGGAGGGAAAGACAGAGGGTGGGAAAAAGAAAGCTTCAAACAGAGCCATGCATGAGAGGGAGGAATGCTTCCACAAGGATATGGGCTGGTTATGGGTGCTGTCAGATATAGATCACTCAGCGAGACGCGAGGTCGTGTATTCCACAAAGAGTCTCTGAGCACAGTTTGAAGAGCCTGACTCACAACCATATACTTAAACTGTTTGAGGCACATCTGCTGAAAAGAATAAGTTCTAATGCTCTTGTGTCATTTATTTCAGCAGTTCTAAAACACTTTGGAGCCTCTTGGAAATTTGAGAAATTTCCAAGAACTCTTTCATAACTGTAACATCATTTAGGTACCATTCAAACTATAGGTTTTCCAAACCTTTTCAGCCTAAATGCTTCAGACACACGTGACGCAATTTTACACAATTGTATCAGAAAATAAATCTGGGTTGAAAAGATAACATGGGTGAAGGTGGAATATGTTTATTTTGTTTGTGTAAATGTCCCCCATTTTTTCCATTTATAACAGCAATGTGCAAAAGTCCTGAGCCCCCCCTCATTTCTTCAAATTTTGCTTCCAAGGAGCCACTGTTGTGTCTACAAATAACACACAATTTTAAATTGTATCTTAAGGGAATTTTTTTTTTTTACTGGCAGCCTGTTGCAAAACGGATAATTTGTTACCATTTCTTTAGTTGAATACATGAAAAATACCAACGATAATGCAGTTAGCCAAAAAGCATTTTTGCATCAACAAGGTGTTTTTACAAAGCGCTATTAGCCAAAAACTCCCTAGATTTCGGCACTGGTGTGCACTGTGTCCTTAATAAATTTGAGGAAACTGGACAAGTGGAGGACAAAAGAAGATGTAATAAGTCTTAAAAAATGTCCAGCACAGACCTGACACAGGATCTGAGTGGTGCCTCTGGACCTTTGGTTGAGACCAGTGGTGTTGGGTGAACCATGGGAAAAACTGGAATTATGCATTTGTACAATCAGATTTTGACCCATCATGTATAGAAAACATGATTGGCTACAGCTTCCTTTTTCAGCATGAAAATGATCCCTAATACTGTGCCAATGTGGTAAATGATTACTTGAATTGAGAAAAAAAAGACCCCACACAATGAAACAAAACTATCACTGTACTTTTTTGGCATCAACGATGGATGACCTCAGTCTGAGAGTCACTGGTTTCGGCTGAAATAACTAAACTAGATATTTAAACTTTTAAATATCAATTAAAAGAAAAATCTATTGTCTGTCACAGTATTCAAACAGTCTTTTTTGGTAGTTGTGAGTGCTGCATCAGTCTCATGGCCAAGGAAAATGTAGGAACACTTCACCCAGTGTGACTCATCTATCACACAGAAATCTAAGACACGGAGTAAAGACTTAACAGGCTTTGGCTATGCAGGTACTAACTGCCAGCAGAATAAACCCAACAGTGATGTGGGACTTTTCATGGGATTTGTTGCCAATGCGTGCCATTGTGTGAGATACGCAACTGTTTCGTGTCCTGGATAAGTTGAGACAGTAACCACATCCTCAATTATTCATTTCATGATTAAACTGAAACAAACAGAATCAAGGCCATGGACATCTTTCTCTCAGTTTTAAAGAAAGTGAGCAAGATCCAGGCCAGCGCTCTTCCTAATGCTCCACCTCCACAAGTGCGGCTAAACGAACGTCCTAGCCTTGCCAAGAGGAATCCCATTATTTTTTCCACCCACCAAGGGGATCCTTAAAAAAGAAATACAACACAGAAACTGCTCTCAATAAAAAAAACAAAAAAAACACTGAATGTGGGTGTGCATATAGTAAGTCTCCATCACAGAAACAAACAGTGTCTTTGTAAAGTCCTCTTAAGTGTGAGGCTTCATGGTATTGAGGCTTCTGCGGCATCTATCGAGTATGAAAATGCTTTTTTTTTTTAACTCAGAGAGAGAGAAAGAAAGAGAGGTCCCTTAGCGAGGCCTCTCTCTCGCTCATCACTGGCAAAGGCATCAGCACTCACCTGCGTCCTGTCAGAAGCAATGACAGCTAACATCCATATGAGAGTGGGAGGGAGTGCAAGTCCAGAGGAGCAGAGGCTTGGTTAAACAGTTCAGGAGGGGAAAAAAAATGTG